TTTGAAATATTATCTTCAACAAGCAATACATGAAACACACGACGTCTTTACGACGCTATTTTATAGTCTTTGTCAAACATGTAAATACGTATAGCAGAAAAAAACAAAAACAACGTCTTAAACACGCCTTTTAAGTTTTATCTTCACCAACCCAAACCGATGTAGGCTAATCTTCATGATGCCGCAACCGTGAATATATTCAGGCCGACGAACGATTTGGTCCGCATCGCGTGTTTAATTGACCTATCGCCGTTTGCCAGCCGCCCCCCCCTAGATAACCTTACGAAAGTCTCGGATGTTGCACGTTCTCACTAGATTTTCCCGCAAAATGTCAATTCCCGCCAGAAATCAAACTGGCATATTGCCAAATCCCGCCTGCAGGTAACTGTTCTGTTTGCCTCATCTATTTGTAAAGAGGGGTTTTTTGAGATAGCACTGCAGCAAATGTCCATTTTACAGTGAAATTTTAACGTAACAGGAATCGTGAGTGTGCTTCATTGCACATGCATGTGCATTATGATTATATTGAGTGCAACGACCCTTAACCCCCTCCTCCGATTTAAAATGACATAACATTACATTACCCCCTACATTTAGAACGGACGATTTTCATGCATATGCTCGCAGCGAATGGCTTAAAAAACCTTAGCATGCGAACCGCGCCATATGGCTCTGGCCTAGTCTTAGCTGGTTCCAGCCTTTCGATGAGACTCTGAGCAAGCCGACTGGAACCAGCGATGGCAAAGACTGAGGCTATGTCCAAAACAGGCTTCTGGAACTACGGTTAGGTCTATTGCCTTTGGCGTCTACACAAATTTCCAATGGAGTAAGGATCTTCAGGTCAGGGAACCAGACTACTTCATGCTTTGAGTCGACAATGATTTGAATAAAATCGAAATTAGTTCGCCGTTTCGAGTATTGCTACACAAGCAGCAAGTGTCCTCCAAAGAAGTTCCCAAAGAAGAGTACGACAGGTTAGGCCCTTCCTTACTTTTACAAGGTAAGTGCTTATAAAAGTGCTACTCTTATACTTTCACCCACCTGGCATTTGGAAATAAGCTACTGACAGAATCAAAAGTATTCGAACCTTCGAGTTTTGGTCGGCTTTTATAAAAAGCATCTAGCTCCACTAAGTTGAGCATTAGTATTTCTCTTTTACGATTTGGACGGGATCGTTAGTGGACAATCCCCTCCAAAATCGTAAACTTGAAGAGGAATAATAACGCTCCACTTAGCAGAGCTAAAAGGCACCATTGCAAGTTGTGCTTATTGGCTTGCCATCTATCATTTCAATTTTTTTCTTCGCTTTTTACGTTTACTCTTAGAATTCTTTTATTTTGTTACTTGGTAATGGTATGGCTTCTTTTGCTCTCTTAATTCGGCCCTTCCCTTTTTTGTTGACTTTTTTGTTTTGTTTCCATACTTCATTTAATTTAGACCGTAGATTTCGGACATGTTTAATGATTTTGTTATTTTTGGACGTGTCTCAACTGGTCTGCTGACATTTTTATATCTGTATATAAGGATCCTTGCCATTGCCTCAAAGAGGCATATTTGCAGAATACCCTGCCACTCACCTTGCCCATGCACCTCGTAGCTGCGGATACCGCGGATACGTTGTCACACTTCCATCCACAATCGTACGTAGTACTAGGACCCACATTTTGAAAAATTCTTCCGCCATCTCCATTCACTCTGTGTTGCATGCAGGACGCGTAAGGCCCTCTTGGTATCCCCGTATCCGCGTAGCCGCTCCCCGGGACCCACAATGGACTCAGTTTGAAAATTCTTCTTTCACTCTGCGTTGCATGACGCACAAGGCCCATGCACTTCGTATACCCTATATCCGCGTAGCCGCTCCCTAGGACCCACATTGGACTTACAAAAAAATTTAATCTTCCCCTAGTGAGTTCTCAAGAATGACTTCAATGCTGTACACAAAGTGTTTAAAAATGTGTTGGTGAAATTTAACGTTCGTGGCATATAGCCCCTCCAGAGGGAAATTGCCATAGAAAACACCCCCCACCAAAACTGCAACATGCCAAAGACAGCAGGGAGGGCCCTTAATTGTGCCTGGTTACTTTCATTATTTTGCCATAATTATTTTTAATCAGACAGCCTATATGGCCTTCTGTCTTTGTCCCATCAGGGCAGCTTTATCTCAGTTGATAAGTGGCTGAATTAATACAATTTTATCATTCTCTTCTCTCAAGTTATAAATGTACTGATAATTGAGTGAAATTAATTAATGAAATATTATTACTATTATAGACTGACATGACTGTTTTTGTTTAGGGATTTTAATATTGAATGTAATATTTTAAATAGCTTTTGCATATATCGGACATGATATTTTGTCTCTGAAATACGCTCTTAATTCATGGAAAGTACTTTTACTCATGAACCTTCGCACTGCAAGGGTTATGTGGGTTTCGCTGCAAAGTTCCGGGAAGTTCAAGAACACATAGGGCAAATTCGTGATTCTCAGAACGATTGACGGTGTATACCAGTTCGGTATGTTTGAGTAAATTGCAGTGCTAGATGAAATAATATAGTGATTGAAAGTTTCGTTTTGAGGCTAATATTTCCATTATGGCCAGTTCCTGCACAGAGACAAGCTGAAGCAGGGCACGGTCAAGTGCCGTGGGAATAGTATATTAATCCAAATAGTGGAAATTTGCCGCATAATGAGTTGGTCAGCCAGTGGAATGTGACCCATGGACTACATGTAGATTGGAGTTGGGGCAGCTAGGGGCAAGAGGTTACAAAGTTATGTACCCCTTGAGGTTATACATTCAGGGTATATATATTGGGCTGGCCACCAGTTGGTGTTTGTCATTAAGTCTCGGTGTAATGGCTATACTGATTTGATGCATATGGCTGCAGAAAATCAACAAATATTCTTTTCTGTTTGCATCTTTGATTAAAACGACTTTCATACGAGTATATATAAGCCAAAGTAACCATACATCCTCAATTCGGTCTTCTTCTGTCTTTGCCCTATCCAGATGCACTGTTAAACGTTGCCAAAGGACACAAAAACATGATGTTAAAAAAGGAAGAAAAAAGCACGGGAGACCATGTCCAGAAAATGACTTAGCAAGTACCAACCGCACAGAATAGTATTTCGTCTAGCTCACGTAGGCTATTACGAAATACGCTGAGCAAAATTTGAAAAGGTCTACGGATGTGTCAGCGATGGACATGAATAGGAAGCAAATTGCACGTGACAATTTAAAATTGAAAATTGGACAGAGGCTTTAATTAAAGACCATCATGGGACCATTTCTGAAACGGGTAGCCTATTTTAAAATTGCCTAACACCTGGAGAGTCTATACCTTGTGCTTATCGTAATAAGAAGGCCTCATTCAAGTTGTGTTCATCTCAAAAGTCTACTTCCTTCCGATTTTAACGCATTATAGGGAATGGATCAGCGCAATTATGGGGAGTAATTTCCTGATCAAAATCCCCCAAAGGTGTTTACTGTTTGCATTTTCGAGTGGCAACTGAATTGGCCTATGGGTGCAATCGGAGGAACTTAAACACGACAAAACGGGGGTTTGAAATTCATCTTAGGCTAACACAAAGCAAATCACGATGAAAAGCGTGCACTGAGTCTGTAAGGTTCAATGATCGTGTTTAGCATGTCGGCTGACCAGTACTGTATACTATGGTGAGACTAAATGAATGTATCAGAAAACTGAATTTGCTTCCAGACATGCCAGCTTTACGCAAGGGCACAAAAGTTTTGTTGTCACGTTTTCGAAATGAGAGGACAGACCCATGTACTGATGTAGCCCCACGCAAGGTCTTTCCAAAAAAATAAATGAATGCCCCACTAATGGTCTTTCAAAAAGGGAAGAATTTCAGAGTAAGGAGTTGGGAATAATGATCATTTCTGGAGCACACTGTCTGACTATTTCATCATTGTTTCATAATGCCAGTTTGTGAATTGCAACCTCGGGTACGCAACCACTGTACGTAAAAACTTTTTTACCCACGTCCGCCTGGAAGTCGTCCAGAAGGTTTTAATTAAGAATCACGGGACTACTGTCTTAATCATTGAGCTTTACGACGTCAAATAATTTCATCAGAGTCATAAAATGAGTTTGCTGTGAATTCAATATAGGTTACTCGGGCAATGGCTTATTACAAGACCTGGCGCAGATGTCGGGCTGAAGTCCTTACTCTAGCTGCAAACAGTAGTGGTGATGAGGACAACCAGCCCATCTTTACAGCATCCCAATACCCCAGTGGAGATGAACACGAAGATTTTAACGATGCTTTACCACAGCCAGTACAGGCAAACAGTTCTGATAATGGAAGTGGTGACTCTTCAACAACGCTAGAATCTGATTTAGACTCAGATTTGGAAGATTACATGTATGACTCGTCAGGAGAGTCTGATATCGAAATAGATACAAACGACACACCCACATTAGATGACAAACTCCGAAAATGGGCAACTGAAAATAATCTCACTCGTGCATGTGTAAATGGACTGCTTGTAATTTTAAGGCATGAAGGACTCAGGCTTCCAAAAGATGCACGCACACTTCTCAAAACGCCAAGAAATGTTGTTGTTGCGGAGAAATGCGGAGGAGAATATGCTTATTATGGAGTGGAAAGATACATAACTAAAACTTTGGTAAAGCAAGAGAACTTTGTTGAGGAAAGGAACTTGATATCTCTAAAGATCAACATTGATGGAATACCATTGTACAAGTCATCGAAAGACCAATTTTGGCCCATACTTGCATCATTTGGCAATTTTCATCCAGGTGTTGTTGCGCTGTTCCGTGGCAAAACCAAGCCAGAACCTGTCGAGCATTTCCTACAAGATTTCATTCATGAATATTCAACTCTTGTTGATGAAGGCATCACTTATGATGATAAAAAGTTTGCGGTACATGTCGAGGCTTTCATATGTGACGCCCCTGCGAGATCATTTTTGAAATGCACGAAAGGGCATTCTGGATACCATGCCTGTGAAAGATGTACAGTGAAAGGGGCCCATGTTGGTGGAAGAATCACCTATGACACAGTTGAAGAAACTGCTTCAAGGACTAATGACCAGTTCCTTGAAATGGCCTATTCACCAGATCACCAACTTCAACGATCACCGTTGATTGAGATAGGATTCCCATGTGTAACGTCCTTCGTGCTGGATTACATGCACCTGGTATGCCTTGGGGTCGTTCGAAGAATCTTAATTTACTTGAAAAAGGGACCCCGGAAATGCAAACTGTCCCAACAGCTTCTGAACAGAATATCAGAAAAGTTGTCTTTTCTCAACGGACAACTACCCTCGGAGTTCGCAAGGCAACCTCGCTCACTGGACGATTTAGAACGATGGAAAGCCACAGAATTCCGCCAATTTGTTTTGTATACCGGTCCTCTTGTGTTAAACGGAATTGTAGATGACAATTTGTACGTACATTTTCTCACTCTCACAGTTGCCATTTCTATCTGTTTGGATACTCATCATGATAAGCGAAATGAGTATCTTCCCTATGCTCGACAGTTGCTAAACTACTTTGTTGAAAACTGCCAACACATCTATGGACCTACATTCAACGTCTACAATGTGCACAGTCTGACCCACTTGTGTGAGGATGTTGATCATTTCCAGTGCTCCCTTAACGAACTGTCTGCATTTCCATTTGAGAGCAAATTGAACATTGTCAAAAAACTGGTGAGAAATGCACATAATCCTATTGCACAGGCCACAAAACGAATGATGGAATCAGAAGAAGCTGGGGCAGATAAAGCAGTTCATCGAAACCACCTACACATTTCTGTCAAGAGAAAGGACAGCTGTTTTTTGTTAAGAACAGAACAATTTGCTTTCGTTAAAGAAAAACGCAATGATGGACACTGGGTTTGTGATATCACAAGAAAACGACATCTACAAAATTTGTTTACCCGGCCTTGTCAGTCCATGCTGTTTAACATTGCATTCATTACAAACGATAACATCGGGAATTGTAGGAGACAGATTCTTCATGAAGATGAACTGTACCACAAGGGCATTTGTCTGGAATACAATAATGGTTTTGTGTTGATGCCAATGCTGCATGGTCAAGGAAGACGATAACATGTTGCACTGTAAGAATGTTTCTATAAATTTGATTCATTTTACTGAAGTTAATACATATTTTATTTAAAAGTGTTCTTGCCTAACACTCACATAAGATCCTGGGGAACCTCATACAACGTACACATGGGGATGTACTTGTAGGTCCCAATTTTTTTCTTGTTTTCATGAAGGTGGAAACAAGACATGCTTTGTGAAATGTGAATTTGACGTTCAGTCGACAATATGGATCATTTAAAGTATCATTAAATTTTGGGGGGGGTGTCCCTGTAATGTCAGTGTTTGTTTTGGAGCAGTCCAATTTTTCTCATCTGAATTACCATACATGCTTACATCAACTACCATACATGTAGGGATGATTTATGTTTTTCAGGATGTATTCAAGAGCAGTTTGGAGGGAGGAAAAGAGAGAGGAGGAAGGCACGGTCCCGTCCAACTGGATCAGAAACCGCATGTTGTTTTGGCCGCCAGGTCCGAATGCTATCAAGGCATATGAATCGCGACAAGAGCCCCGTGACAACTGGCGACAGTTTCCCCTGGTTAAACTTAAGCTTTCCGCAGGTAGGCCTATGCATCTTTTAATGTACAAGTATGATCAGTTCTGTGCTATTGACAAAATACAGATTTGGGGTTTGGCAAGTGCCTGCAGTTAAGCATAACAGGTAATTACCGGAATGTACATGTTTGACGAAAATGATAATATTTTTCAACTCTACATGTACATGTACCTTCCTGGGGTGTTTGCAAAATCATAAAGATTTTTTTCGGGAAATTGTAAATAAACTTTACACTGCTGTCATACAAAGGTTTCTTGCTTGTAGCAATTATGTGACAAACCAAAGTGTGAATGTTTAGTGTAAAATTTGCATGAACCCTTATTTATATTCTCCCGGATATTCTAAATGTGTTTCTGCTGTTCTTGTTAAGATGACCCCAAAACATGTGACAGTTATGATGACACAACAACAGCTGAGGCCAGTGAAGAAGAAACTGAAGAAAAACGATCCAGAAAGAGGAAGACATTTGGGGAAGACTTTGAAACCGGTAATAATTAATACAAATACAACTCATATTCTGTAGGCTACAAATGGCGGGCATTACTCAACTTTCTCAAAAATATATGTTGCGGCACACAACAAAAAAATTACTGCACGCACTGTAGTGTGTGCAGATACATGCATTCAAATCACAAGACCTTAGTTAAAGCTCATTATCCACAAAAGTATCTTCTTTGCAGATGTGTTTCCTGAGAATGAGGAGCAAAACGTGGTTAAAGTGAGTGGTGGCTCCCCTCAAGGTAAGTTACCCAAATACATACAATTCTGTACATTTATTACACTACTTTAATATTCCACAAGAACCCTACTAATTTCAACAATCTAAATCCAAACCAGTCCCTGTGCATAAATTAGTCTTGCTTCTACTTACTGTTCCACTCAATCATTAAAAATTGATATCAACTATCATAATTTTTCTGCGTGAGATGACGTAGTTTTACCAGAAATTAACCCATGAAAACTTCAATGGATTATGTCCCTCACTGGACACAACTAGGCAAGACCATATCGTTCTGTACTCAAAAGTGTAACAAGTCACGAACGATGAAGTGTTATCTAGTACAATTTGATAGTGCCATAACTCCGTCAACACATTTTGTTTGTAATGTACATACACACGTGCAGTAAACTTCAATATTGTCTAGGCAAATGTGTGGGTGAATGGTTTGCAAAGCATGGAATCAATATATTTTTGAGTTCTGTAAAACTACAAAAACTCAAACTTTGAAATGAAGACAATTGCAACAAGGTTTTTTTTTGTCTACAGATCCCTTCAGTTTGCCCTCTGAACCAAAGAAATACAGACTGACTGTCTCACCTGGATCAACTTCACATCCCAACTCCACCTTGGGCACAGGATCACCGGGATCGATCTCATCTTGCGAATCGCCCAGATCAGTTACACCTCCCAACTCACCTGCGTCCACCTCATCTGTTGGTTCACTCATGTCCATCTCATCTCCTTCCTCCCCTGCATCTACTTCAACTCCCATCACCTTGTTTGGTGGGTTGTCCTCTAAACATGGTGATAAGCTGTCAATATCTGGCAGCAGCAAGCCATCGTCGCCAAACTCTGGCAACAGCAAGCTCTCATCGTCAAAGCCTATTAGCCGCAAACAAACATCGTTGAAGTCTGTCAGTGGCAAGCCATCGTCGCCCAAGTCCAAAAGCAGCAAAATGTCACTGGCGTCAAAGTCTTACAATGCCAAGTTGTCGTCACCTTGTGGCAGCGGGAAGCTAACATCATTGAGAAAGTCTCGCAGCTGCAATTTTTCAGTGTCATCAAGACCCGCCAGCGGCAAATCAGTGTCTTCAAAATCTGCCCATGACAAGTCATCACCGAAACCTGGCAGTGGCAGTTTGTCCTCCGAGTCTTGCAGTGCTTCTTTTCCCATGTCTGACGCAAGTAGGTTTAATTTCATCATTATGTTACTGAATACAAAGTCCGCCAATATATCTTATGTTAGTTTAAAATAAAATTAAGAACAATTATGGACACGTATTAGCTGTTCAGGAGTAGCTCGAAGAGCACATTGAACAGTGTTGTAGATGTTTACATATAGTTTCCACCTGCTTGTTCAAAGGATTTCAAAAGAGGGTTTTACATCAGCTTGTCGAGGTGAAAGAACTTCTAAGTAAACTACTGCGCCAATCTGAAGGTTGTATGTTAGGAGATGAAGAGAAAATCGCCCAGGACCCTGTCAAGACAAAAGAGGAGTTTCTGGATCTTGAGAAGAAACTCCTGGATGTCACCTACCGCTCTGCTTTGGTATGAATCTGAATGACAGTTTTTATAGTGATCATATTTTTATTATGTTAATCCATAGCAAGTGTGGCTCCAATAACTTTTCCTCATTCTGTATTATGCATTTTTCTATATCATATATCCTAGAATTACATGATAACAACGTTTACACGTAAAGGAGAGCAACAAAATGTCCATGTACAGGACTTGGCTTGTCATTAACACAGTTTATCTGCATGTGCTTCCTACCCTCCACATTTACTCATCAACTGTGCTTTAGCAAACATATACGTTATCATCCAAAAGGGATGTAATGTATCAAATGGTGCTTCTGTCACATTATTTTGTATTCAATTTAGCCTTTGACTTTAAAATTAAGCAGCATTGTGATTGTCCTATTTACTTAGGTTTTTTCTCAACTTTTTCTCTTTTAGGTTGCTTACTGTAGACGAGTTGGTGGAAGTGACATGAAGGATATGGTTCGGAATGTGTTGAACAGGTCAGTAAATGTAACTACCTGTACATGTATGTCTATATTTACTTTTCTGTAAAAGGTAAAATAAGTTGTGCAGGTTATGTCAGGGGTTTGTGACCAAAGGACAAATCTGTGTCAGGTCCATTGCTCAACAACAGGACATAGTTTATGCGAATTGATACATATTTGCAGTCACTTTTGGTATTCCCTATGAAGTCAAAGTGACAAAATCAATACACCTTAAGTTTTGAAAGATTTTTAAACTAATTTATCATGTGCCATATATGTATCTATTACTAACTTTCTTCGTGCATTGAAACACATGGTCCTGTTTCTATCTTTTGGAGACACTTGTGGCAACAGTACGGCTAAGCCAAGGTGCACATACCCATTGTGGTAGAGACAGTGAAAAATGACTGGTTTGCTGCCACTAATTGTCTTCAGAGTTTCGTATTATTGATTGTTTTGCAGGATGATGACCCCTTCCCTTCAGAGTGAGTTCAACATGAAGGGACTGAACAAGAGTAAGATGGCATTTGGAAAAACTGCATTATGTGCAGTAATCGAAGGTAAAAAAGTAATATATATGTATTGTTCAAGCACAGCTAGAAAAGCTACTAACAGATCAATCAATTGACCTTGTTATTATTTTAGCAGTACTAAAGTTGTTTTGCGCAGTAACAATTAGTTGTTGCTATTAGGATACATTCATTGGCAGTATGTGATGCAATACACAATATTGGCCACTCAACGAAAGATTTTAGAGACACTTGGTGGCAAAAAAATTTCTTTTTTATCTACAGTAAAAGACCAGTTTATTTGCTGCCACCAAAGTCCTTACAGTTTTCTCCGAAAATAAGTTGTCATTTTCTTCTTGTGTAACATTTGCAGAAAGCGTCGTTGCTTCACACAATACAACGGTGTCTGAAGTAAGACAGCGGATTGCCAAGTACTTGAAGTACTCTTATCAGAGACTTTGCAAGAGCTCTGCATAATTCAACAGGCATGCACATAGGCATTGAGTCTTATTGGGTCTTATATTGCAAGTAAAATAGATGTATGTATATGTACATTGTTTCCTCGGCTTTATTTTGTCAGGTTTATGAAGGTAGACTGCAGCCAATCTAGTGAATCATATAACCTGTTTCCTGGCTGTTTACTTTTGGAGATTTTTACGAAGTAACAAACTAGCAAGTCTGATTGTTTTTTTTGGGGGGGAGGGGCATGGGTAAAATATTTTTCGGCATTGCAAATGACCAGATCGTTGTTGGGGCTGTTCAAAGGAAGGTCTGTTTTCCAAAAGCTTTGACAAACCACTTTGTGAGACAAAATTTTCTCAAAATCGTGTTCCATTTTTCCATTTCATTTTAAAATTCTAAGCCAACTCGATTTGAATTTTGCGTTCAAGCATGCAACTTTTCATCAACTGATGTCTGTTTTTCTACCTCTCATAAATGCCATTACATGTACATCTAAAACGTATTTTACTAAGTCTTACCTGGTTGGAAATGTTTTGTTTTGCCAAATATTCGGTTACATGGCTTATTATAGTATTTGTGTGATTAATATTTCCCATTCTTGCCTTGTCCGTAAACGTACAATTTTAAACCTTTGAACTGCACTGTTACAAATTTTTCTGTACATTAACAGAGAATTTTATGCCAATTGCGATTACAAATGTCATGCTAATGTACAGAGGCTCATTTTGTACATGAACAAATTTTTACCTGTGGATTCACGAAGACGTTGCCTTCTGACTAAAAGCAACGGAGACGATGTTCAAAGAGGTTTCTTACTAGGTTGAGGTTGGGTACCTACGCGTTTCGTCGATGATGACATTGGCGCGTTTGGTTTCTTTTTATGTGCTAAGACACATTTCCTCCCGATTGATGCGCTAGGATCACAGTTGCTACAAGACTGATCTATAATGGCACGCAGCTTGCTTATGTGCATCGCTTTTTCTTTCCAATTTGGTCACAGTTGGCGGGATGGCAGGTTGAAACCATATTTATTTTAGCAATTCTTACTTTTTGGCACACAAGGTGACTCAGAATAAAATTCTCCACAAAAACATTACCTTTTACTCGCACTAGTAAGAAACACGAGCAAAATGGCAAAATCACCTTTACGAAAGTGGTTTTGGGCACCAAAGACAATATGCAAATATATGTTAATTGATGTTACACAGGTAAATTGTACATTATGCGGCTAAGTGTACATGTACCTAGTTTCATTTTCACGTTGATTGTGCTGGGGCAATTGCAATGGTGCGTCCAAAGCCATTGAATTTAACAGAAATATTGGTACATAATATTTGGGTAGACTTTCGTTTTCAGTAAAGTGTGCTAACGGGTTATTTGTAAAGAACGAAAGTTAGATAAATAAAAAAATCATAATTCGTTGTAATCAGTCGCTCTTGTCAAAATTTATTTTACAGCCAGGCAGCGTGTTAAGTCATGTGAACGTCTTTTTATCGTAAGTAAGTTTGAAAAACAAAAAAATTTTGACTCGTCC